ATAATATGCTGGTGATACCTTTAAAACTTTTATTTTAACACTGTTGAAATGTTAATACGACACCCTGTATTGTTGAATGTTTAACACTGGACAGTGTTACTGTTAACACTATATTTTAACACTAACACTATTTTTTGTTTATGTGTAGGGAAGTGATTCTTGCAGGTGGCGTGGCCTCTGCTGAAGCATGTGTGTCTTGTCGCTGTGACGGAGGCTAAGCTAAGAAGCTAACCGGAAATCGCGCGTGCTGTAAACAACCCTACTGAGAGGAAATTTACCTAGCCGAACAAGACTGTAAATGAGAGCTGCTGCTTTGTCAGACAAATTTAATTTAATTTGGAAGCCTTATCAACACAGACTGGCTTCATTCAGTTCCTCCACTGCTGTATGCTAAACTAACTAGCAGACACCGCGCCGAATGTCGACGTTGTTCAAAACAACTTCTGTTCTGCAGAAAATTGACGTTCTCTTCTCTGATTGGTCCGGCTAAAAATCTGCCAGCGAAATCCTTGTCTATGGGAGAAGTCCCAGACGGAGCAGTGAAGGGAAACTAGAATTGAGCGGAGCTGCGTAGGAAGGCAAAGGCCAGGCAAGTCAACAACTAATCCATCTCTTMTTGGAGTCTTGATTTAGGCTGTGTCCAAATTCAARGGCTGTGTCCTCGGAAGGACCCGGCCTACCCAGTCCCGGCTGGGTCCTTGGTAGACCGCAAAGACCGGAAGAAAGTGGCTGTGAATTTGGACGGTCTAGCCTCCCGTCCTGCATAGGCCTAAGTTGTTTAGCAACTGTGACGATGCTAAACAGAAGCAAAATTAAATCGAAATGAGAAAAATATCAACATATTAGCGTTATTATTAATTTTAAGCAAAATAAACATGCACCTATGCGGGTCCATTCTTCAAATATTTCAAATACTGCCTTAAGTTAATTTTGTTCTTTGGTGATATTATAACACTAATATTTTTCTAATTTCGATCTAATTTTGCTGAGCATTAATAATTTGGGTTTAGTTCCAGTATCTGCATTTTAGCCTACATCACATTGCAACAAGTTTCTTCAGGGACAAGCCATAAKGGCTGCACGGCAGGAAAACTGTGCCGATTTCTGGCCCTTCYGAAGTCCAGATTGTCGTGATGACTCTAAAGATAAATCGTAGCAAATATTCCTGCCGTGGGTGGTGAGTGATCTAGTCGGTTCGGAAGGACATCGGGACCGCTCCGACCTCAAATCGGGGATATTCAACATGTTTGATTTTTTGGCCCGATATGTGAATTCGTGGGTTGCAGCGGACATCGGCTGTGGTCTACGTCGGCTGCAACCCACAGCCTGTACTGTATGTGGCGTTCACCTGAGAACAAACGAGCTCGCAGCTTGTTGAATGAGACACATAGCCAATCAGAAAGCGAGGTGACATAAACATGGAGGGGATTTCAAAAATACAGAAGACAAAAAAAAACTGTCATAACTCACCAGAAAGTCCGCTGGATGTTAAAAGTCCTATGGAATTGTTTTTCCTCTGGTAAAGATAGTCCACAAACARTCAACATTGTTTCTTCCTCGACGCAAATGTTCATTTACTCTGAACTCACGTCTCTTCAGGTCACGAGATTTTTTTCCTTGACATCTGAATTCTCGCGAGATTTTAAGAAGTCTCACGTGATCTTACGTCTGAATGTTCATGAATCATAAAATATCTTTTYGTATGTGGTGTGTTGTCTGTTGCGGTGTAGCTGTAATGAATGTGGGGGATTAATTAAAAAAATGGCAAAAAGTTTTCATAAATGATAGGATTCCATCGTTTTAGTAGCATGTTGACTGAGAAGAGAAAGCCTGTCATTTATTGTCAGCGCAGGTAAGAAATAAAACTGCACTCAATGGACATGRAAAAAACTTTCAGAAACAGGCTACTGGAAAAACAATGTTTCTGGTAAAATACATGTAACACACTATATACATAACCATGTCTTTGATTCAATAAAAAATTAGACACTGCGGTGCTGTTGTTTTCTGAAAAACACAGTGGTACAAGATTAAAAGTGTGATTAAAAAAATACTGTCGTAACTATAAAGATTAAAAAGAAAAGTTAGGCCTTTCCCAGAACAACACCATGTGTTCGAGTTACTGCAGTAGTTCCACATCTAAGAACATTTGTAAACTCTTGACAATTTACAAGCACATAAAAATATTTTAAAAAGTCACATTTAAATACAAAAGCAGCTACCGGTACTACAAAATTGTATGTCTTACACAAATAAGACAAATTATATATTTACTAAAAGAACCATACCGTATTTACATACAAGTGCCAACACTGATAAGTGTAGAGTTTCAGTTTGTGAATCGACCCCATAACACCATGTGATTTTAAAATAAAATACAATAAATGTGCAAAAGGAATAACAGTGTCACCCATTTTGAAACCTCTGAGGCTGGTGGTTGCCGTGTTCACACACATACTTTTTAGTGGGTACTTTTAATTTTGGCTTTRTGTGAGTTCTTGTGTGGCTTCAAAGACTGCTGCGTGTTGGCGTTTTCCTCCCACTCGTAGCAGTGGTTGACCCGGGCACAGCTCAGCAGACACGGCAGCTCATCCAGGGTCTGAGAGTAGTATTCGATCATCTCAGCAATGGAATCGAACTCTGTTTTGCATTTCTACAACAGAAAACACACAGAAAATTAATTACTGCAAAATTACATGCTAGAATACCAAAATGGTGTTTGTGGTCTTGATGAAGGTTTTATACTCAAGTTTTACACTTCTTATTTCTGTATTAAACCAAATACCACTGAGCAATATACCAGGTATATTGTGTAACCAACAATCTACACTCACAGGCCACTTTATTAGGTACACCTTGCTAGTACCGGGTTGGACCCCCTTTTACCTTCAGAACTGCCTTAATCCTTCTTGGATTAGATTTAACAAGGTACKGGAAACATTCCTCAGAGAGTGTGGTCCATATTGACATAGCATCACACAGTTGCTGCAGATTTGTCGGCTAAACATCCATAATGTGAATCTCCCATTTCACCATATCCCAAAGGTGCTCTATTGGACTGAGATCAGGTGACTGTGGAGCCATTAGAGTACAGTGAACTCATTGTCRTGTTCAAGAAACCAGTCTGAGATGATTCACGCTTTATGACAGGGAGCGTTATCCGTTATCCTGCTGTAAGTAGCCATCAGAAGATGGGTACACTGTGGTCATTAAGGGTTGGACATGGTCAGAAGATGGTACACTATGGTCATTAATGGTTGGACATGGTCAGAAGATGGTACACTATGGTCATTAATGGTTGGACATGGTCAGAAGATGGGTACACTGTGGTTATTAAGGGACGGACATGGTCAGCAACAATACTCAGACTGTGGTGTTCACACAATGCTTAATTGGTACTAATGGGCCTAAAGTGTGCCAGGAAAATATCCCCCACACCATTGCACCACCACCAGCAGCCTGAACCGTTGATACAAGGCAGGATGGATCCATGCTTTCATGTTGTTGACRCCAAATTCTGACCCTACCATCCAAATGTTGCAGCAGAAATCGAGACTCATCAGACTAGGCAACATTTTCCAATCTTCTATTGTCCAGTTTTGGTGAGCCTGAGTTTGGTGAGCCTCAGTTTCCTGTTCTTAGCTGACAGAAGTGGCACCCGGCCCATCCGCCTCAAGATTCGACGTGTTATGCGTTCAGAGATGCTCTTCTGCATACCTCGGATGTAACGAGTGGTTATTTGAGTTACTGTTGCCGTTCTATCAGCTAGCACCACTCTGGACGTTCTCCTCTGACCTCTGGGATCAACAAGGCATTTGCGCCCGCTGAACCACCGCTCACTGAATACTTTCTCTTTTTCGGACCATTCTCTGTAATCCCTAGAGAWGGTTGTGCGTGAAAATCCCAGTAGATCAGCAGTTTCTGAAATACTCAGACCAGCCCWTCTGGCACCAACAACCATGCCATGTTCAAAGTCACTTAAATCACCTTTCTTCTCCATTCTGATACTCGGTTTGAATTACAGCAGATCGTCTTGGCCATGTCTACATCCCTAAATGTATTGAGTTGCTGCCATGTGATTGGCTGATTCGACATTTGCGTTAATGAGCAGTTGGACAGGTGTACCTAATAAAGTGGCTGGTGAGTGTTTGTTTCTATGGTTTGATCTTCAGAAGACTTACAAACAAATCCATCTACGGTTTATGTCAACATTCTATAATTTGTTTTCTTTAAAAAAAAAAAAACCTAAACAAATATTTACTGGGGTTTACCATGCCATGACTTTTACCTCCAGTAAAAACTTCCCTTTCCGAGTGTTCACAATGAGGTGCGTGACCAAACCAGAGGGGAAGCGGATGATGAGAGAACCACATTTGGGCTTTTTAGGATGTGGGCACAGAAGATACGATCCCAGAACGTCGTCCGCAAGGAGGGAGTAGCAGCTGTCACTGCAACACCAGAGGGAAAGCCACTTGTGAACAACAGAATGAAAACAGTGGGGAATCAAAAGGTTGGACGAGCAAAGCACTGACGTTGCGACACCAGCCCAACACCACACAGCTTGAGCCAGCGCTTCCTCCGTCTCCGCTAAACTCGGAATCCTGGATCTCTTCACTGCTGCTTTGCCTTGATTTTTTCCTGTTTTGTACAAAGTAAGGTTTTATTATTTATAATCRCAAAAGGAAAGAAAAAAGAAGATATTCCACCTGCAATATAATAATGTGCTAGAAGACAACTAGTGTAACCTCAGTTCAGTGAAAATCAGTGTTTCAGTGAGAGGATACTAAAGAGTGAGAAGCTTATAGAATACCCCATGTGAGTCGACACCTACATCGCACCGCACCAACCAGTGATGACTCTGAACACGACACTAAGGGGGTTTGCTTTACCTGATCAATCCTTTAAATCTCGACAGCGCTCTGTAAACACTCAGCCCACCTTGTGACTCGCTCAGCCGCTCCTGGAGACTATGCTGTTTGAGCGGCGTGAAAGTGAAGGAGCGGTAAGCACCGGAACGCAGCCCTTTGGTGCGGATGACTTTCTTGCGCATCAAAGAGGGAGAGGAGGTCGAAAAGACGTCGTCTTGGCAGGTTTGCAGGTCGTTGGAGGAGTGCTTACTTTTCTATAAAGTACAATATCAATTAAAGCAATTATCTCAAACTAATTTTTTAATAGAAGAAAGGATGCCACTTCAAACCTTTGTGCCATGCAACAATCCTCGAAAAGGAGCTCGTCTAAAGGAAACCAGGGCGCTGACACTGAGAGGGAAGCCATGGTTGAGCAGCGAGGGGCTTCGCTGAGGCAAAGAGCCAACGTGCTCCTCTTCTTGTGCTTCTTCCGGGTGTTTCTCCAAGTAGGATAACTGGAAACAGCGACACAGCAGCAGGTTCAGGAACTGAGCCTGGAGGCGAGGAGGAGGAGAGAAAACTTAGATAAAATTCTGCATCATCAATGATGGCACAATACTGGGTACAAATATTGATTCATCAATTCAATTTTACCCAATTCAGTATTGAATATCTGAATTGATTCAATCCCCTGGACAGTTTGTCACGTTTTATGTTTGGACTCCATATTTAGAACAGGTATTATTTTTGTACTGCTTTATTTCCAGATATTTTATTTCTCCAAAATATTTGTATTAGCAAGAAAATAAATATCTAAAAATTATCCACAGGGACTCTTATGAATTGTTTGTGTACTTCTTATTATGAAATTAATATCAAAGTTTTTAAAACWATATCAAGATCTAATTGAATTGTGACCCAAAAGATTTAATTGTGAGGTCGTTCACAATACGTATACCATAAACCTCACTATTTTTAAAACAATGTCTTATTTCTTTAGTTACACTTGTAGGAAAGTTGAGTTTGGCTTTCATAACTTAATGCTAAAAAAATCAGTCACTTGTTAYTTCTTTGGGTAAATTCATTTGAAGGGTACATATTGAAAATCAACTTTTTTAGCTGTTAAAATGCATTTTGTTGTGAGTCTCTAGGCGTGCAGAAAGGTTGAATTTAGTCTCTAAAATAAAACATTACTGCGCTGCTAGATCGACATTSCCCCGTCCATCAAGCTGGAATGAAGCAGGGAAGCTGGAGGGGGCGGGGCTTGAAGTGCCTTGTTTGGATTTARAGTWGAGATGGGATAAATGGCTCTTTGAAGGGATCCGGATCTTGGGGAGCAGTTTGTTTCATAGAGYCGTTCGATTTTGAGCGTATTACGTCATCACGTAGGAAAATACGTCATCACGTAGCCGTACGTAATGATGTCATCCCGTCACGTGGGAGGAACCATGTGTTTTTCAAGCGGAAACCCCTCTTCCCCTCTCACCGTGAGCTTCTGTACTCCACAACTCCACCTGTTTTCCGTGAAAAAGCAAAGTGGTAGCGATTTAAGTATGAAAAAAATATAATTATGAGGAATAAAAGAAATAAAACTACAAATGGCTCGTTACTGCCCGCGATCCGGCTCCTATTCTTCGTTGTAAAGAGCCGTTCAAAAGATTCRGATCGTTCGTGAACGTCACATCTCTAATTTAAAAGGCACAGCCTCAAAATGAGTTGTTCTGAGACACAACTCAGAGAAGGGGTGAAAGAGGGGCTTGTGGAGTTRCAATAAAAGGAGGAATYCAGACCAAAACAYTGCAGTTCCACTTTATAAAGACCTCAACTGAATGATTTAAGGATTTAAAAGCATGATGTGTGTCCTTTAATAAAAACAGAAAAAGCAACATACTGTTTTATCTTTTAGCTCTGATCAAAACAAAGTAGTTAAAGGGCAAATTTTGAGCAAACAAATAAAAAAAATTGCTTACCGCTCTGGCGTGTCTTGCTTTAAATACGTGGCAGTAAAGTTGGGCATCGGTGCTGCCTGGGTTATGAGAAACGAAGGCGAACTGGTCGTCGACGGGGCGGGCGGTGGACAGGGAGACTCTCCTCAAAGCGTGAGCCATCAGCAGAGTCTGTGAGACGTCAAAAAACATTCAAACTGGGCTTGAATGTTTTCACCAGAACCAAACGAATCGCACTTACCATTTCATCTTCGTCGTACATTTTCACACCTTTGAGGGAGAACTTTAACGACACCGGCCTCCGTCTTTTGCACGCCTGACAGACAACAATCACCGCCTTAGGGTCACCTGCCCACAAACACTCATGACGCAAGAGATGTCAGGCGCTGACTCACTTTGAGGGACTTCAGGCGTGCGTGCAGCTGGTTGATCTGCTCGTCCAAGCAGCAGTCGTCCACAGGAAACGAACCCACGTACTTCGCCGGCGAAGACGCACAGATTTCGGATCAAACACGGSAATTGTAAACAAAATAAAATCCATGCCTGGAGGCGTGTGGACCTACCTCTGCTGATCGAGTCACAGCACCATCCTCAATGACAGGAGCCTCACCCATCATGCTTGTTTATCCAGCAACAATTAAAARCCCACCTCTTTTAAAAGACAAACAAACAGTTTAAGCTGTGATTTAGAGTTGGAAATAAAAGTTTGGGTTGATTGTATTTCACCTTTCACTGGAGTTAATGTTTACTCAGAGTCAAGCTGTGAGGCTTTTCAGTGAGTTTTTTTTCTTTGCTGCCAATTCACAAATAAAAATTAACTAAAAAGAGGAAATGCTCTTAAAAGAAGTCCCCAAAGCACGAGGGATCAAACCCTAACCCCTAACCAGGAAACAATTACTCCAAATGGACTGCGACACAGTTTCCACCCACAAAAACACACCGACGCGTCTCCTGAAATCAGTTGTAACAAAAGTTTTACCTCCTCCTTCTCCTCCGCTCCCCGGACAGCTCCTCCTTGTCTCAGGGCCAGCAGCTCACCTTCATCTGCGGCTGTTGTCCCCTCCGCGTTTCTCAGGTGTGCAGTCAGCGCGAGGCGGGGCTCCAAGCACGAGGAGGMGGAGCCACAGGAGAGGTGGTGTGAGATGAAAACTTCTCCCAAAGATATAAAAGTGAGCGAGTGAGGAGTCACATCTCCCTCCCCCACCTCCCCCCTCCAGGCTGATTCCTCCCAGACATTCCTGCCCTGCAGACAGACCGTCCTCCTCTCCTTGTTGCGCAATCGAGACTCGAGAAAAATGCTCCTTAAATCAACATTACAAAAGGCTTTAAAATAGGTCAGTAACACTTCTCCAGGGGGGGGGAAAGATACTTTGATAGTCCCACCTAAACATTTAAAAACAACACATTTTTCTGGTAACATTTCCTTATGTTCTGAGGGATGGGAAACTGACAGCCCACGGGCCATATGTGGCCCACAGAAGACCTGCAGAGGTCTATAGTAACTAAGTACATTTACTTACAGTACCAACGTAATTTTTTTTGAGGATTTGTAATTTTAACAAGTTTTTTTTAATTGTGACTTTTACTTAGTTACTTTTAAAACCTAAAAAAGATAGGCAGCCTACTTTTACTTCTTTACTTTAACACCTTATAAATTAAATTTGTCTGAACTCATGAAAGAAGTTGTTTTTGTGCTCTAAAAATTAAGTGTTGAATTTACTCAACTAAATCATACTATTTCCACTAAACCTAGTAGAGTAAATTTAAGGAGATAGACATATTTTATTTTTTTAAATGGCCAATTTAATCAACTTGGTTTTGTGGAGCTAGTTTGGTTCTGTACATTTAACAGTTAATTTTTTAAGAGAGCATGGAAAAGTACTTTTACTTTCCCAATTTTTGTGAAGTTTTATGACTTTTACTTAAAGGCACAGTGTGTAGGATTTTGTCAATTTTTTTTAGCTGAAATTGAGATAATCACTAATGACAATAATAAAAAACATGTCTAATCATTGCAGACAAAGACCTTGTTTTATTATTTTTACCTTATAAAAAGCTGTTTATATCTCCATGGTCGCGGGTTGCCAGTACAGGCAGCCGCCATCTTGTCTACGAAGGCTCATGAAGGACAAACTGCGGTGGCGGCGTCAAAAACATTTTTAGTTGTAATACTATAAATGTAATATTTGTTGTCTGTCATTGCAGCTGGGATAATTTTACTTATTAAAGCTCATAATCTTACCACTTGAAACATCACTAGCCCTGAACCTGCCAACACAAACTTTTTCAAAATGGCATTTTCAGAGGTTTATAAAGTAGAATTGAATACAATAGAATAGAAATAGTACTTAAAGAAAAAAAAACAAGTACAAGTAAAATTAAACGAACAGAAAATGACTGGTAAAAATAAATTTCACGGATGAGAAAACTACTCAAGTGAAAGTCATAAAACTGTTCACAAAAATTGGGAAAGTAAAAGTACTTTTACAAACTCTCAAATAAACGGTTGAATTTACTGAACCAAACTGGTTCCACTAAGCCAGACTGAGTAAGTTGAGCAATATATGTATATTATTTGCTCAACTAGGCTTAGTGGAGCCAGTTGACATGACTTTTTTTTTGAGTAAATTCAACACTTCGTTTTTTTAGAGTGCATAAAACTTTCAGGATGAGTTCAAATATATTTAATTTTGTAACAAGTAACTAGGTGTAAACTTTTAAAGTAAAGAAGTAAAAGTAGCTATTTTAAAAATTAGTAAAATTACAAATCTTAAAAAAAAAAAACTACTTAACTACTGTAACAAAGTAAATGTAATTAGTTACTATAAACCTCTGGGCATGATTACATTTTTTTTGCAAATGATGTGCTATGCAGCCCTCTGTGTCCACCAAAAACTGTGGCTCCTATCTGCCCATCCCTGTTCTTACTAATCAGTCATTGCAAAATAAGTTGGAATTACTCAATAAGTCAACAGACATATTGAATTAAACTTAAGAGCTGCAAGCAACCAGCAGCAAAACTCCAAAGTACAAAAAGGCCACCACAAACATTACTTTAACTTAGTCAAATTAAGAGCTGCTGCCATGAGCTTTTACCGTGAGCTACGGTAATTGTTTATCATCACATTGAGTCAAAATAAATGATGGCACAAAAGTAATTTTAAGATTTCCTGGGAAATCCTTTCTGAAACTAATACACGTCAAACATCCAATCTATGGAGGCAAATAYGTAATAAAATAGAAAWAATAATAATAAAACCAAGAGGCTACAAAGATAGTCATTTTATTAATGACTTGGAAAAAAGGCTAAACACATGGAATACATGCATGCAGGGTATGTATGAGCCGAGAGAAGCTCCTGGATCCTATTCACAAAACACATTTTTTTATAATCTGAATAACAGCCGTGAAGTTATAAAAAAAATCAATTTATGTATATGCTTTTACACACACACACTCACACAACGAGACTTTAAGATTTTTTTTTTCTTGAATGTGATTTGAATACAAACAGTGTTTTATCCTCAGTTAAATCAGCATGAGCTCCAGCAGGT